AATGGCTCGTGTAACCAGTATAACTATAGGTGAAGATGTGTCCAAGAAGCCTGCACAAATCAAGGCCGAAACAAAACGAATTAATGAAGTTGAGTTACAAGACCACTAAAATATGGGAGCATCTTCTTTTCAAGAATTAGAATCGACATAGGTTGGAAATGAAAAAGCAATTGATATGTACAAAAGCATAAACTTTGCCTAACATGATTTGGGTGAAAACTCTTTGATATCAAATTTCAATGTTCTGAATTACTTAGGTGACAATTTTGATAAGAGAGACTGCACCTGTATTGTAGAAATGTAACGATAAAAAAAAATATACATTAGACTATAGGGAATTTTCTGTATTGTATTCAGTAGAGAATGTAAATTGAAAAAGACAAATGAAATGAAAGATAATAGTCCAGCACTTCGAGAAGCTGGCAATCTCCACAATGGAATTCAATAATTTTCTGCATGCCCTCTTTACCTTGCTCTCACCCTTACATATACCCTTTCTCATAACTAATCTAACAAATTGGCTAACAAATTGCATAATTACCTTTAACAAAATGAGTGCCCTAAAGTAATTCTAGAAGTTTTTGTGCCACATTTGTCACTTGGTTACTCCCCAATGTTATCATTTCTCTTTTTGCATCTGGTATAGGTCAATTTGATTGGAGGCTTATCAAGTACGCCCCCCATTGCAGTCACCTTGTCCTCAAGGTGGAAAGTGGAAAACTGTTGATTGATTAGGTCAAATGGTTCCCATGTTGCATCCATTGGAGATAGACGTTTCCATTGAATCAAAACTTCCATTCCTGCGGATGTCCTCTCGTGATGGGGCCTCTACCCTAGTACAAACTCAGGTTCCACTAGAAATTCCTAGTCTTCACCCAGTTGAAGCGGCAGTGGTGAGACAACATGTGCATCCCCAACGACTTTTCTCAATTGAGACACAGGAAAATTGGATGGACGCGAGTGGTTAAACGATATGCTGCTTGTCCCACTCTTGCCAATACCTCAAAAGGACCATAGAACATCAGAGCCAGCTTTTCATTGGAATGTGTGACCAACGATCGGCGCCTATACAGTCTCATTTTCACATACACACAATCTCCCTTGTCAAAGACCACCACCCTTCAATGTTTATTTGCTGCTAATTTCATTTGTTGTTGAGCTCTATGTAGGTGCATCTTTAATTCCTCCAAATCTTTATCCCGCCCCAACATTTGTTGTTTAAGGGACGAGATTGCTGTTGTTCCCCTATCAAATCAAAGCAATGGAGGAGGATTGTGCCCATAAGGTATGCGAAATGGGGTGAGCTGAGCCGATACATGAAATGAGGTGTTATAGGAATATTTAGCCCAATGAAGGAAATGGTACCACTTGCAAGGCTTAATCAAGGCAAAGCAACGTAGATATGTTTCCACCCCCTGTTGACTACCTCGGTCTGCCTATCTGTCTGAGGATGATAAGCAGAGTTGTGCTTTAATTTAGTCCCCTACAGTTTGAATAGTTCACCCCACAATTGACTCGCAAATACCTTGTCACGATCGAAGACTATGGAGCGAGGAAACCCATGTAATTAGGCCACCTCCTTAGTAAAGATGGCTGCAACAGCTGGAGCTATGAAGGGGTGTTTCAAACCAATAAAATGTGCATACTTACTCAAGCGGTCAACCACCACCAAAATGGAGTTGAACCCTTCTAAACGTGGTAGCCCTTCTATGAAATCCATGGATATATCCTCCCATACTTTGTCGGGTACAAGCAAGGGTTGAAGCAGCCCAACTGGAGCGAGGGTTGAATACTTGTTTTGTTGAAAAATTACACAAGCTGCTACATACATTGGGATGTCTTTCTTCATTCCTTTCCAATAGAATTCCTTGCTACCCGTTGGAATGTCTTTAGGAAACCCCCATGCCCTCCTATCTTGCTTTCATGGCCCTCATGTGACCACTGTGTAAGGCGACTATAATTGCACCCAATTCTGTTGCCTCTTCTACTGCTTTCATTGCTTCTCCGAGCTAAACTGCACTGGGAACACTCGTAGCCATTAGAGTTGCTGTCACATCCATTCGGGAGAGCATCAACCGCCTTATTTTCCAACCCAGAATTGTATTCAATGTCAAAGTCGAATCCCAAAATCTTAGTCAGCCACTTCTGGTATTCCATGTTCACTACCCTTTGTTCTAATACAAATTTAAGGCAGCGTTGGTTCGTTCGCCCCACAAACCTACGTCCCAATAAATAACACTAAAATGATGGCCATGAGTTTCCTTTCATAAATGGACTTACTTCGAACTCGTGGTGGAGGCATGTGACTGAAGTAAGCAATGGACCTCCGATTATGCATAAAGATAGCACCTAATCCATAACTGGATGCATTGGTCTCGACAACAAAAGGTTGTGAGAATTTCGACAACCCCAATGCAGGTACAGTCATCATGACTTGTTTTAATTTGACAAAGCCTCTTTTTCTTCGTTCTACCCAAAGTTGTCTTTGTTTAATTGTTGTCAAAGGCCATGCTATACTTCCATATGCCTTGACAAATCAACGATAATACCCGTTTAACCCCAAGAATCCCCTTAGCTCCCTAAGGGATTTTGGCCTAGGCCATTCTCTCATGGCCTGCACTTTAGCTCCGTCGATGGCTACTCCATTCTCCGAAATGTTGTGCCCCGAGTAATCCAGTTCTTTCTGGCCGAAATGACATTTCTTTTCATTAGCATAAAGCTGATTATCTAGGAGTAATTGCAGTACCGCCCTCAAATGGTCTTTATGCTCCTTTGTCGTGCGACTGTACACTAAGATATCTCAAAGAATACCAAGATGAATTTCCAAAGGTAGCTCCTGAAAATGTCATTAATAATGGATTGGAATGTTGCTGGGGCGTTCGTCAAATCGAACGGCATAACAAGGAACTCATAATGCCCCTCATGGGTTCGAAAGGCAGTTTTCGACATATCGTCTGGTCTCAACTGTATTTGATGATATCCTGACTTCAGGTCTATCTTCGAAAGTATAGTTACCTTACTGAGCTCATCCAGCAGCTCGTTAATGATAAGTATTGGAAACTTGTCAGGGACTGTGGCCGTGTTTAAAGCCTAATAGTCAATGCAAAATCTACAACTCCCGTCCTTCTTTACCAATAGCACTAGGCTTGAGAATGGATTGATACTAGGCTGAATAAGGCTTGCAGCTAACATTTCCTGCACTAATCTTTCTATTTCATTTTTTTGGAATGGGGATAATCGTACGGTCAAACTCTGGCTAGGACAGTCCTTGGCTATAAATTAATGGTATGATCCCAAGCTCTCGAAGGAAAAGATGCTTGGGATTTTGAACACTGCAGCAAAGTCACGTAATAGAGACTAATAACCGCTAGAGGGTTCGAAAGTGTTGCTTCGGCCTTAATAGAAACGTTTCCCAATTCTAGCAAGACCCCCTCACCTTGTGCTCTGAATGCTTTCAACACAGATTTCAGGGATATCAAAGTCCTGCTCAAGCTAGAGTCCAAGGTCACTTTTACGCTGGCTATGTTGAATGTCGTGGTCAGTTTCCTCCAATTCACACTCATTTTCCCCACCGAGTGCAACCACTGCAGTCCCAAAATGACTTTTGAGTTTCCCAACTCCAATGGAAGGGAATCATCTTACACCACCAAATTTTGTATCTGCAGCTTCAACCCCTACATATGCTTTCTCCTTTTACAGTTAGGCCCGTCCCCATGATGATGCTGTATCCCGTGGCTCTGGAAAACTAAAGACCAAGTTGTTGAACCAATTGTGCTGAAATAAAGTTATGAGAAGCTCCACAATCTATCAGTACCACTACATCCATTGCCCTCAATAGAGCCTTTCAACTTCAACGTTTCAAGAGTAGTGATGCCTACCACCGAGTTAATGGACAACTCTACCTTGTGACCCACACTCGTCCATTCTTCCCCGATGACTTCTGGTGGGTCGCTGTCCAATGTAACACTTTGAATTTTAAATTTTAATTTCGTGTGAGCTAAATTTAATGTTGTTAATTTAGTAAATAAAATAATCCAAGTCCAACACGGCCGTCACACTAAAGTCCAAAAGTTGAAGTGATAAACACGTCCCACTTATTTGTATAAATGATTTATTTTGCATACATATACTTTTTTGAAATTATCGCAAGTTATTTGGGTCAAATATTTAAGTATTCCAAAAGTTGATAAAAATATATCGATATTATACTCTATTTGTAGCTCGTGCTAAATAACATAAATTGGCTCAAAAAGAAATAATTTTGGACTAGTCATATTCGAGTTATCTTGATCTGAAGAAAGATATTCTATATATATATATATGCGTTTCTGAAATTTCAAACACCACCAAACCATCTTTTAATTTAATACTTGTAACCTCTTATTTTCACTGCACCGTCCCACCACTGAAACGACCACCATGATTGATTGAAAATTAATCAATTCATTGAATTGTTTGGGACATTTTGAATTTTATTTCATATATATTCCTTTATCCACATGCATTTCACACGTCTACACGTACACTTGAAAAGAAATAGCATTTTATTTCACAAGTCATTTTCAGAATTTCTTTGGTATCATTTGAGGTAAGAAATATGCAAGTAGTTAATTCTTATTCTTGATATTTTTATAGATTTTGGCATGAAATACGTTAAGGTCTTCGGGTCGATTTTTATCTTAAATCCTACGGAATGGATCGCTTGGTGGAGTATGTAAATCCTATAGTATATAAGAATTCTTATGAAATTCCTTGAACTATTGGGTGTCGCGACCAGTTTGCTCTAAATCTAAGAAATATTGGTCTGCCATGTCATTTTTGTAATTATATCATGTTAATAAGAATATGCATTTTTTTCTTAATAAGAAATATCCGTATGCCATGTCATTTTTGTAACCATCGTATGGATGCGTGGCGGATCATATTTTTTTCCATATATAATATTTATTAATTATAAAAATAGATTTTGGGGCGTTACATCCGACGCCTCCTTTGCGGCAAGTGTTTCACTATCAACAAGATGCTCTTCCTTGAGTTCCCTAATGGCTATCACCTGGAGCTCCTTATTCTTACATCGATGATCAACGGTGAACTTCTCATCACAATGGTAGCACAATCCATTTTCCTGTTTTGATTGTATTTTGGCATCAGTAAGTCGTTTGAAGGGAGGAGCGAATTTGGGAGCAATATTAGAGCAATGGGGATTGGAATTTATGGGGGTCAATGGTTTTAGAGTGGGATTTGGAGGTTGGGCTAGATAGGGATTTTAGCCCAGAGAGGAATATTTGGATTTAAATGGGCCGAGGCTAGTCAGGCCGAACCAGATCACGTTATTCCTCTCTTCAACCTGGAAAGCCACCTCCATAATTTGCTCTAGGCCCACTAGCTTAAGCAATTGGACCTCTGTCTTTATATTTGCCTTTAGTCCGTTAATAAAATTACTTTCCTCCTCCGAAATGTTTTGTAACAGTGACGCAAGGATCTCAAACTGTTGACGATACTCCTCAAGGTGGTAGTCTGGCAAAGGGCCAGAAACAGAGCGTAGAGGGACCCTTGCTGCAACAAACGAAATCGTTGCAGCAGTCAGAGTTTCAACTCTTTCCAATTCAAAATGGCTCGCTGTTGATCTTCCCATTGATACAGGCCAAAGCTTCTCCTTCCAAAAAGACCATCGCGGCTTCTCTCCTTCTCCTTCGTCATTAGGTTGATGGTGAAATAGCGTTCCACACGGAAGACCCAGGCCTTGACCATCAAATTGGTGAGTGAGGAAAGGGGTCTAGTATCAATTCCGTTTATGTAATTTTCCACAGTTCTTATTTAATAAAAGATCTACTTTATTCAATTCCTTTTTAGCTTGAATCCTAACAAATTGGTATCAGAGCATGTGTATCCTGATGGCTCAAAAAAAAAAAAAAAAAAAGAAAAAAACAGAGGGCATGATAGAATCCATGGAGAAAGAGTTGGAAGAAGTTAAGATCGAGTTGCAAAGGCTACCAGGCTTAGAACGGACAATGGAACATTTGGCTCAGAACGTAGGCAAAATGATGCAAGCCTTGGAAGAAACTAGAAGGGCAGTAGCAGCCTTCTCAAATCCAAAGTCGGGGACAAAGGGAAGATCGAAAGGCGATGGGTTAGGGAGTATTACCAGAGGGCATGTACCTCCAAACATACTTCCAACTGCCGTGGGCGATCAACGAACGATGGAACGTAGCGAATGGCAAAAAGGTATTGGGGAAGCTAGCTAGGGGAGAATATCAATTGCCACGGACCATGAAGGAGGAGGAGACAGTTGGCGTCGAGTGAGGAAGCTCGAAACGCCCATTTTTAGTGGGGAAGATTCAGATGGGTGGCTCTCCTGTGCGGAAAGGTATTTTGAGATCAATGGATTGACGGAGCGTGAGAGAATAGGAGTAATTGGTGTAAGCTTGGAAGGCAATACTCTCTCGTGGCTTCAATGGACGGAGGCAAGGAGGCCATTCCAGAACTAGCAGGACTTTTGAAAACAACTCCTAATGCATTTCAGGCCAACCCAGGATGGCAGTTTATGTGAGAAGTTTTTTGCGGTGAAGCAGGAAGGGTTAGTCGCAGAATTTACGAGAGCATTTGAGGTTTTGGCTGCACCGTTAAAAGATCTCCCTGATGAAGTGCTTGAAAGCACGTTCATGAATGGGCTTCTACCAAAAATTTGGGCTGAAATATGCTTATTGTGCCCGACAGGATTGAGCCAGATAATGGAGGCAGCCCAAAAGGTGGAGGATCGAAATTTGGTGCTAAGCATCAGCCCAGAAAATTCACAAATTCGTCCCAAATTCAATCAAGGCAAGAACGTTCTCCACCAAGGCAGTGACGGTGGAGAACCGACTTACCAATAATAAGAGAGAAACACCCATAAAACGCATGACTGACGTAGAGTGGAGGTCGAAGCGAGAGAAGGGTCTATGCTTTCGTTGTGAGGAAAAATACACAATTGGTCACAGGTGCAAAAATCGGGAGTTGCGTGTATTGTTGGTGCAGGACTGCGAAGAGAAGGGGCGACTGACTACGAAAATTCGGTGGAGGAACTATCGCTCGAGGTAACAGAGACGGTAGAATTATCGCTCAACTCTGTGATAGGGCTGACCCGCCAGGCACCATGAAATTAAGGGGCAAAATCAGATCACGAAAGGTGATGGTGTTGATCGATTGTGGGGCAACCCACAAATTTATCTCTTTGGAAGTAGTTCGGAAAATCGGGCTGCCAACCACAGCTACCAAAAATTATGATGTTGTAATGGGAACGAGCGAGTCAGTGACGGGAAAAGGGATGTGCAAAGGAGTAGTACTGGAATTACAAGGGTTGACAATCATCGAAGACTTTTTGCCACTGGACTTAGGCAGCACAAATGTGGTACTGGGCATGAAATGGTTAGGCACGTCAAGGAGCATAGAGGTCAACTGGAAGTTGTTGACCATGAAATTCCAATTGGGGGATGGTTGGATGACACTCAAAGTTGATAAAGGGCTAAATAAATCAAGAATTTCCTTGAAAGCCATGATGAAAACACTACAGAACGAGGTAAGGGAATTCCCTTTCCTCCTGTCCATCGCCTCCTTACCTCATTCTGTAGAGTTTTCATCATGGCTTTCAAGGAAATTCTAGATGACAATCAAAGTTGATTTAGTTCCACTGCCAATTTCTTGAATTCCCTTTCAGGACTCACAAGGGACACTACGAATTCCTTGTAATGCCATTCGGCCTCACCAATGCCCCAACAACATTTCAGTCATTGATGAACTAGGTATTCAAAAATTATTTGAGGAAGTTCAATTTGGTTTTCTTTGATGACATTTCGGTGTACAGTAAAGATGTGGCGTCCCACAAGCATCATCTAGAGGTGGTGTTTGTCATTTTAAAAAGGCATAAGTTGAGTGCAAATAGAAAGAAATGCCTCTTCGCTCAACCACAGATAGCATACTTGGGTCACTTGGTTTCAACAGCGGGGGTGGCAGCTGACCCCAAGCAAAATCACGACCATGGTTCACTGGCCAACTCCTCAAAATCTGCAAAAATTTCGAGGTTTCTTGGGGCTAACAGGCTATTACAGGAGATTTGTAGAAGGATATGGCACCATATCTTGGCCACTTACCCAACAGTCGAAGAAAGATTCATTTGGCTGGATTGTAGAAGCAGATGAGGCGTTTGGGCGGTTAAAGCAGGCTATGACTACTGTTCTAGTTTTAGCCTTCCCCGATTTCTCGAAATCCTTCATTATAGAGACCGATGCTTCGAGTTGTGGGGGTAGAGGCAATCCTCATGCAAGACCAACAGCCTGTTGCATTCTTCAACCAAGTACTTTCAGCAAAATCTCGACACAAGTCCATCTACGAGAGAGAGTTGATGGCCGTCGTGTTAGCAATTCAAAAATGGAGACATTATGTGTTGGGTAGGAAATTTGTTGTTCGCACCGACCAGCACAGCCTCAAATACCTCCTGGAACAAAGAATGATCCCAAGGTACTTCCAATGCTGGGTAACCAAGCTGTTGGGATTTGACTTTGAGATTTAATATCGACTAGGATTGAAAAATAAGGCAGCTGATGCATTATCACGCATTCCCACTCCTATGAAACCGAGGACACTCACCTTCTCAAAACTATTGGAGGCACAATTAATTGAGACTGAAGTAAAAATGATCCAGTGTTGTCTAAAATCAGGAAAGAAATGCAGGACGACCCAGATGCACACCCGCGGTACTCAATCCTATAGGGAAAGTTGCTATACAAAGGGCGACGATGATCTCTCGCACTTCAACTTTAATTCCTTCTTTGCTACATGAATTCAATAGTAGCACATTGGGAAGCCATTCCGGGTTCCTTCGCACCTACAAACGACTGACTGGAGACTTATATTGGACGGGGATGAAGGCAGATATCAAGAAGTTTGTAGCAGAATGTCCAGTGTGTCAGCAAAACAAGATAATGCTCTATCTCCAGCTGGGTTACTGCAGCCTCTACTGATTCCCCATCTCATTTGGGATGACATTTCAATGGATTTTGTGTAAGGACTGCCGAGATCAAGAAGGTACAATGCAATCTTAGTCGTGGTGGATCGTTTAAGTACGCGCATTTTGTGCCCACTTAAACACCCGTTTACATCAGCTGGGGTCACGACAATTTTCGTTAATGAAGTTGTACGTCTCCACGACATTCCCAATTCTATTATCTAAGATAGGGATAAGTTGTTCTTAAGCCATTTTTGGACAGAGCACTTTCGGTTGCAAGGGACCTTCCTTTGCCGAAGCATAGCCTATCACCCTCAAACCGATGGGCAGACCGAAGTAATCAATAGGTGTTTGGAAACTTAACTTCGTTGCTTCACTTATGATCAGCCCTGGACATGGTACTCATGGCTCCCATGGGCTGAGTATTGGTATAATACAACATTTCACTCTTCAACGAACACAACTCCCTTCTGGGCAGTGTATGGACGAGACCCCCCTCCGTTAATTCGCCTTGGCAATCAGGTCACAATGGTAGCAATGGTGGAACAACAATTGAAAGACCATAACCTTATGCTAGAAGAGTTAAAATCTCATCTTCTCCGTGCTCAAGAAAGGATGAAAAGAGAGGCAGATAAGCACAGAAGAGATGTCCAGTTTGTGACCGTGGACTTGGTTTATATCAAATTACAACCCTACCGCCTATGTTCATTGGCCAAGAAGGAGAATGAAAAGTTAGGGCCTAAGTATTTTGGTCCGTTTGAGGTAGAAAAACGTATAGGGCCAGTTGCATATCGTCTAAAATTGCCTCTTGAAACTACAATACACCGTCTTCCATGTATCGCAGCTGAAGAAGGCAGTAGGTGCTACTGAGGCAAATAAACTATTTCCATCTCATCTCGATTCAAACCTTGAATGGATTGTGGAGCCTGATCAAGTCTTGGGAGAACGCCCAGGTGGAGAGGTACTAATAAAATGGAAGGACCTACCTATTACCGAGGCAACCTGGGAGTCAACAGAATCTATCCTTAAACAATTCCAAGTTTTCACCTTGAGGACAAGGTGTCTTGGAACACTTCACATATTCTAGAAGAATCAAAAAAGGAGGGAAAATAGAATCTGCTGGGAAGCATGTTCTGGGGGGAAAACGAGTAGGAAATCAGCTGTAAATAGAGGTAGAGGTTAGGGGAGAAAGCAGGCAATTGGTGAGTGAGAAGAGGGGTCTAGTATCAATTCCGTTTATGTAATTTTCCACAATTCTTATTCAATTAAGGATCTACTTCATTCAATTCCTTTTTAGCTTGAATCCTAACATATTTCTTCTCAAAATGTCCAAATTGACGTGCCCTAAACTCAGTTAATAATTTAGACAGGTTAATGGTATTAAAAACAGCAAAATTTTAAGGATATCATCAGCAACATAAAGTGTTAACCAAAGGGACACAACCCTTGTACTTCAGTTGAGTTTTCTACTGAAGAATTAACTTTTCATGTTACTGTTTTTGGACTAAAGTGGCAATAATCTATATTTATTTGATCAAGGAAATTTCTACTCATGCATTGTGATGCAGTCTTATCAAAGCACTAAATTTTTTCTCTTAGAATGAGAAGCATTTTATCATGAAACAACTTTAAGAGGCAAGATAACAACAACCTTAAGTTTTCTCAGAACAGGACTCCTTACAGTTAGATTAGGCAAAGCTCAAATTCCAAACCATACAATTTATCACCAAATCAGAAACCCATCCCCACTACAAAATGACTCCTAACAGTTCTTTATTGAACAAGATAAAGAAGCAATATCAAAGATAAACCAAACAATTCATCACCAAATCATAAATGTAACCACTATATGACGACGAATGCAAGCAACTTAACAATGAGCAGTTAAAGAAGAAGAGAAAGGAGAAAGAATTGGAGAAAGACTTGTAATTGTATTCAATAATAAAACGTGTATCTTATGACAAATCTCAAAGGGAAACTAGGGTTTCCTCTATAAGGAAAACTAAAATGTCTTAAAATTTAAAAACTCAATAAGGAAATAAGGAAAATAACATAAACCATATACGCCTAGAATAGACTTTTCATGTTGCATCACTAAAACAAATACTTTCTTCAAAATAAATCATTCTACAAGCATTAGTGCACAGCAAGCAATGAAATTGCATCTAATAAGCCTTCAAACTCATCACATGTTAAAGGCTGAATGATAAAACAAATGAAGGTGGGTACAAAATACCAGCTTATTTTTTTTTTCTCTAAATATAAATGCATCTAAAAGAACTTAGTCAAAATCGAAGTCTTGATTGTAAATGGAGCCATCGAAGTCTTGATTGTAAATGGAGCCACTTCCATGGATCTCCAGTCCCACTCCCTCCCAGAAGTCGACAAAAAACACGAACAGGTATGGAGTCCCGTTCTTCCCATCCCATTACAACCTGGCATCCTTGCTTATTACTTGTATCTCCGATATTATTCAATATTATCAAGGTATGTAGCTAATAATATATAACATCCCATTTCAAAGTTATGGTATCATAGTGTAAAATTTCAGTCGAGGTTTATTTTCAGAACAAGGTTCTTATCAAACTCCCTTTTTTCTCTTTAATAAGCAACAAAGACAACATTCATAACAGACAAAACATGTAAACTATCAACAGTCGAGATGTATCCAACTCAAACATGAAGGCTTTTCGCGGGTGATTCTACTGCTTACTAAATAAGCAAAAGGGATATGCTTCTCCTTATCCTTTTGCACTATGCATCAAAACTAGCAAGTATAAAACCATTCATACAGATCTGTTCACTTGGGTTATTCCTCATGCTATTCTAGCCAGTTAAGGTCATAATTTTTCTCGGGGTTAGGGCATAAGGACATACAGTTCGGCCAAAAAGGTTTGTGATTTCATGAAGAAGGTGAAGACACAAATGGTAGTTTATTTTTTGACAGTCCGTTGTGACACTCTTCACCTTCTACCGATTCACATAGCATCATCAAAAGGAATAAGTCTTGGATTAGAATGTATAACACACTATAAAGCCCTTGATAGTTAGATTCCTCTTCCAGGTTAACTGTTTCCTAACTATGTTAGATGCTGATAATAGTTGTCTACTTCTGCTTGACCATATAACTATCATTGACTAGAACTGGAAGCTTCAAAGGTATGGATATCATATGTTCTGATTTTGCAACCAAATTTATGACGATTCTGAATTTTCAATTCAGTTTAAGAACTTCATGGTTAACTTAAACAGCCTCTTTCAAGTCATTAGACTAACGCTGCAATTAATCAATGTAATTTTCTTCCCTATCGCCTTCTGACTTCTTTTTTGCTCACATCACAATTTCACCAAGATGGAAAGAGATAACCCCATATATAAGATGCAAAACAAAGCTACTCTATTAACTTTCAGAAGCAGACAACTCAATCCACGAATTTATGAAAATTGAAATGGTTTCTCCCCTCCAAACAAAAAGAGAAAGGATAAAACAAGAGTGCACTTTGCAATTTCCCGATTGGATTCTCTCTCTCTTCAAGAATTTGTTGTTCATTCACATCCACAGTAATACGCCATGGGACGGCAAAGTTTATGGGAAACATAGTGATTTTAGAACCTTAATCTTATTCTACAGGTCAATCAAATGAGTCAGATATGCCTTTTGATCAACATATTGTTCATAATTAAGGCCTCCTTTTCGAAGAATAGAATGGGAAAGAACGAGCAATGAGATCATACGCAAGCTACGATTGCTCAACAGCACTGGGATTATACAATTATTGGAACACACAATCCTTGTAGGGCGTGACATAAGTCTTAACCCTTTTCGAAAAAAATCTACACGTGTAGTGAATGACAATTGTTCTGTAAATGTTAAGACCTAAAAACTTTGAAAACATGTCCATTTGACATTATTTTTTAACAAAATGAGCTCAGATTGCCAAACAATCAAACTAACCTATCCATTTCAGATTTATTTATTTTCTCCAAGCACCTTAGCACAGAAAACTCAATGTATCGTGACTGTTTTTCATTGTCTTTTCCCTTATATTTTTTTGTCTTAACCAAGTTGGCTATAAAACTATTGTCGGTTTAAAACCACAGTGAACATACATACAGTCAGAGTAATTCAATTGGAATGAATGGTGTAAACACTGATATAAGAAAAAATACTAATGGGACAAATGAAAAACATAACTTCCATATGCACCAAGCCAAGAACGAGACGAAAAAGAAAAACTGCAATTAATTTAGCATATAAATAGACATCACTATCAAATCACAGTAACAGCATTGCACTATCAGTTCAGTCTTCATAAATCCAGCCAAACATTCCCTTGTGTAAAAAAAGACAAACAACAAAGGAAAAGAATTCACCATCATACTTAATTAATATAATCAAGCAAGTTGAAAGAAAATTAAGACAAGGACCACAATTCTTAATGTAACAATTACTGTAAATGTCCAAAAACACGCCCATTTCAAATGTTTTCTTATCTACACATTGATTTTCCGGTAAAATAAAAGCTAAAGAAAAATCACAGAAATTACCCTCTCTAGCACACCACTAAGTCAGGCATCCATATTTTCCATCTGAATGCTGCTCTTGAGAGGCACATATTCCCCAAGATATCCACCAAGATGATCATACAGCGCACTCTTATCAATCCCCTGATGATGATAGCTCTTGCAGACATAGTAAAACACGCTCTGTACCAATAGCCCCACAAGATTAACAATTACCAAAACCCCAACGAGGAACCCACCGAATATGATCCTTGAGAACACAAAGTAATCCTCTCCACCGTGCACCACAATTGACCCAAAAAGTCCATTAACCACTCCACAAATCGCCAAGTACCCAAAAATCAGAACAAATCCCATGCCAATTTTCCCCTTCAACAACTCATAGCTCTTCTTCATAGCTGCAAATCCATAAACAGGCTCAAGAACAGACACCACACTAGCCAGATGCCACAATGCAGTTATGTAAACATGCACAACTAAAAACAACAAGAACACAAACGTCACCGAGAATATAAACAAGACAACGTTCTGAGTGTCCACTGCAATAATAAGAAGCACAAGAAATCCCAAGAACACGATATTATAAGCGACCATTGTGAGAGAAACCCACAAAAAGGTGATGAAGAGCCGCTTGAAGACGCTGGGAATGGCGGCAATTGTGCAGGAGAAGGACACTGGCTTGGAGGTGTAGAGGGAGGCAACGGTGAAGACAACGGCGGCGGTGGAGAGGAGCGAGAAGGCGAATAGGAAGATGAGGTAGCAGAACTGGAAAGTGAGGAGCATGGACCACTCGGATGAGGCGGCATGAGAACCAGTTGGCTCGGACTGAAGCTGGGAGAGGATAGGGTGGGTGAAGAGGGAGTGGGCCAAGATGGCGAACGACAGTGGGAAGATTAAGGTTATGGTTATGAGGTAAAACGTCTTGGGGGAGTGTTTAGGAATCGAAATTGATTCTTTCAGGACGTCTTGGATGGTCAAGAATTGCAGTTCTTCAGGAGGCAGATCCATGGGGTTAATGGGATTTTGGGGATCTATTCAAATTGCACAGAAATGGGTGAAATTAGGTTTTCGCAATTGTTGCGTAGGTGGGACTGCGTAGGGGTGCGCGTGGGATCGGGGATTGCCTGAGCTGTAGAGCAGCAGATCCAAGGAAGAGAAAGAGTAAAGTGCAAAAGAAGGTGGTGGAGGTGATGCGTGTTATTTTTGGCGAGTTAATCTTGATCCCTCAAGTTCAAGAAAATTCAAATTGGTCATTGCTGTTTTTTTTTTTGGACATATTTAATCAACTTTTACCAAAGTTAATTAGTGACACAAGCGGTTCACAATGATAGCCTGATTAAGGCCTTGTTTGATAGCCATATGTGAAGCTTCCAATGAGGCCACGTGGAAGCACCATGTACACATGCGTGGCATTTCATCCATAATAAATATAGAAGCAAGAGTCACTTTTTGGCCAAGGCACTACTCCTTTTTGAAGTGCTCTCTTCGTTTCAGCCGAACTCCTTCGCACCTGAGGCCTAAGGCTCTTTAGAGTAGGTCTGATAAGTGTATCTCGAGAAATGATTGATATAACGTTTTCATTAAATAGATATCAAGAATGTCAGCCTAAAAGTGTAGGGCAGCTGACCCCTTGTCAATTGTGTTTGTCAATGTAATTAATGTAAGACAAGATGATGTAACACTTCGGTCTAGCAGATAGAGCCACGTGTATCTAATCCAATGGTGACCACGTCGATCTGGTTACTATAAATAGCAGTCTTTGTAACATTGTAAAGGATAGATTTTTATACGTATAAACAAAGTATTACAGTTTTCTTTCTGTGACTAATTACTTTCATTATCTTCTCTTCTTTTAATACACTATCAATCACGAACATCTTACTTATATACTTGTGTATATTTAACTAGTAACTATATACCCAATTGAGTTTCAGACCAAATCTTGTGAAGTTTGTTCAAGTGCGCATTATCTAGGATTGACACTTGTTGGCACATTTTTTGAGGTCAATAGATTGGCGCTGTCTGTGGGCAACCGATACAGTTAACCATGAAAATTTCGTAAAGAAAAGTTCGTAACCTTAGTCCTGAAGGATTCCTTGCCTTTGAATAAAAGGAGGTGTTCTTGAAGAAAGGATCACCAAAGGAAATAGCTTGTTTAGGACACCATTTTTACCTATTGGAAGAAAGGGAGTATTTGCCACTTTGAAAGTGCTTTGGGAATATCATGAGTACTAGTGAAGAGGAATCAGTGCCTCAAAGAGCTCGGGAATACTCTGAAAAATGGGAACCCTACAATATTGTCCCAACATCTCCTATAGATTCCACTAGCCGAATAGATGGGGCGGATTGCGACGTAGGTCACGTGGATGTTCTAGATTAACTGCCAGGCTTACCAGAGAGGTGGCTACCATGGCTAAAAATATGAGGGATATTACTCAGCAAAATCTTGTCGTGTAAGAATTGTCGAGAAACATGTAAAGCTGAGGAGGATATCCAGTACCTTTATACGCCCCTCAGGATACCAATGATATCAAGAATAAGAGGACCTCCAAGAGAGAGAAGTTAGAATAGACACATCCACTAACTATGCCACCGATCAGCATCATGAGGTCCCATTTAGCTTTCCATTAGAACATGACCCAGAGGATACACCGAGGAGGTCAGTTAACGTTTTTGAACGGTTAAGTCCCGGACAGCCTAAGAATAGACAGGCTCATCAACCTCGTCCACCTAGAAATAGATAGTATGAGGAACCCGGGTTCAAAATACCAGATAAACCAGTTTATGGTAATATCGACCCTCCGCCTAGAAATAGGCGTGAGAGGAGAGCTGAGTAGAAAGAAATCGAGTAGGGCCTTCTCAACCGCCTCAAGAGCCCCAAGTTAGGAATGGGGGTGATTCGAATGAACTATAAAGGTCCTACAACCTTAATGATGATGATGACAAATTGCCTTTTTTCGCAAGAAATTAGAAGTGCACCAGTACTGAACCACTTCATGCTGCCCAAAATGCCCAAGTATGATGAAAGAGGAGATCTTACAAAGTACCTCAATGGCTTCAAAACCCACATGGGCTTAAGGGGTGCAACACTTGCCATGAAGTGCCGAGCTTTCCATCTAACCTTCAGCGGAGTAGCAATAGTCTGGTATACCAGACTCCAAGCAGGAAGTAACCGAAGCTGGCTTGACTTTAAAAAGGCTTTTTTCAAGCATTTCGCTACCAGTAACGAAGGTGAAGGGCCTATAGAGCTTCCAAGACATGAGGCAACACCCAGGTGAGTCGTTGAAAATTTTTTGGACTTGTTTTTACAGATGAAATTACCTACTGTGTGAAATTCATGGACAGGAAGCGTTAACTGTCCCAAGGAAAGGGCTAATTATGAATTCACTTTTCTGAAGAGATGTACAAAATAAAGATCCTACAAGTCACGACGACTTGTTGGAAATAATAAGGTAAGAGATCATCAATGAAGAATTAACGGATCACCAGAATAGGGTAAATAAGGCCTCCCACCTTCCCAGATGCAAAGAGGGAAATGTCTTACATCTCACTTGATAGATCAATAGGTCGGATAGTCAACTCTTCTCAATCTGAGGCAAGCATTAGCTGTAGAAACGCTAAATACAGTTCCAACTATGGTGTACGAGGAAGTAAATCCCAATATTGAGTATCAAGGAAGATCTCCCAATAATTTGCTCGGGGGATAAGAGGTAAGGGATGAGGTGCAAGACCTAGAAATAGTGATGAAGCGCCTCCTTATTGCATGTACCACTATTCATGTAGTCATAGCACAGATGGATGTTGGGACTAAGAGAAATATCCAAACAATTAGAGGAGAAATGATTTTTCTTAAAGGGATGAGATGCCTTGACAGGGTTGGCAACATAGGAATGAAGGTGCCCATCACCAAAATAGGGATGACACACGAAGGCGTAGAGAAGATCGTGGAAGATCTGAAGAAGGCCGAAGGCATCGGAGAAGCCCCTCACCAAACACTGGGCGTAATTCCATTCGAGAAATTGATACAATATTTGGAGGTCCATATGTGAGGGTGAGACTAGAAATGCACAAAGGAGCTATGCAAGGGAAACTAAAGATCCACCAATAGCAAGCTTCATAGTTAGCAGCAGCCAATCTTCCAATCAAAGTTCAACATATCACATTTACCCAGGATGATGTTGTAAGGAAACATTATTCCCATTGTGATGCCCTGATATAAGGGTAGTAGTGGCCAGACAAAATAGAAGTTGACCATGAGCTGACCCCGATGACCTCACCTTTGTATAGATTCATGGGCAACAACATCATCCCGCGAGACAAAATCACGTTACTAATGGAGATGGGAGTGGCACCTTTGATAGCACACCACTTGATGGAATTTCTAGTAGTGGATCATCGCTCCACTTATCATGGGGTACTTGGAAGGTCAGCTTTGAAGGGATTATGGGCAGTTACTTCCATCTACCATCTGTGTATGATGTTTCCAATGGAAAACTGTATCGCTACAGTCAGGGGTGCCCAACAAAATATTAGGGAATGTTATTTTAATTCCATACGAAAGGCTGAACCAAGGAGTGTAAATGTTATATTGATGGACATTGACGAGGACAACGACCCTGAATAAGGACCGAACCCTGAACAAGTGTCCGACATCGAAATGGTAGATGCCTCTGAAGAAGAGGCTATTATGAAAATATAATCAACCCCGATGATGGAAAAACAGCAAAAAAAGCTGCTAGTTTTGATGAGTTAGACCATCACTAATCGATTGCAAACCTGAAACAGCTCTAGTGGAAGAGCTCGAAAGCTTTATAGTCGATTCTTAAGATCCACCCAAGTCCTTACAGCTCGGCAAGAACATGCCACCAGCATTGAAGAAGAAGTTGAAAAGTTTCATGTGTATCAACTTAGACATTTTCACTTGGAAACATGAAGATGTGATTTGAATCGATTCGAAAGTAAGTTGCCACTATTTAAAAATCGATCCTAAGGCTAACCTTCACAGGTAAAAGAGAAGAGTCCTAAATTCCAAAAGATATGAGGCCTTAAAAGAAGAGGTAAAGATGCTAATTGCTAGTCACTTTATTCGAGAATCAACCTATCCAAGGCGGGTTTCAAATCCGTTGCTAGTAAAGAAGCATAATGGAAAGTGAGAGAGTGTGTGTAGACTTTTTTAGTCTAAATCAAGCTTATCCCAAGACAGCTTCCCACTTCCTCAGATAGACTAACTGGTCGACTCTACGAAAGGGCATTAATTGTTGAGCTTCATGGATGTATATCCAGGCTACAATCAAATTCTAATATATCCAGCAGACAAGGAACATACGTCCTTTATTACCTATCGAGGCTTATATTGCTATAAAGTGACGCCCTTCAGGTTGAAAAATGTCAAGACCACTTACCAAATATTGGTCAATAAGATGTTTACTGACCTTATTAGAAGGACAGTGGATATGTACGTGGATGACATGCTTGTGAAGAGTTTGAAAGTAGATCACATTTGGCAACTAGAGAAGGTCTTTCAAACACTTCGAAGGTACAAAATGCAATTGAACCCATTCAAATGTGTTTTTGGGATAGCCTCAGGAATGTTTTTGGGCTACATGGTGAACCAGAGAAGCATTGAAGCTAATCCAAATAAGATTAAAGCTTTAATTGAAATGAGATCACCACAGAAATCTAAGGAAGTGCGAAGCCTCATAGGTCGTGTAGCCGCATTAAGCTGCTTTGTGTCAAAGGCGATGGATATTACCTTTCATTTTTCAAAGTCCTAAAAGGTGGGAATAGATTCCAATGGAAAGAGGAATGCGAAAAAGTCCTTCAAGCACTGAAGAAACACTTGGTACAAGCTCATCTTCTTTCGAAGCACAAAGTTGGAGAACCTATGCTAGTATACCTCGCTGTAACTACCGAGGCAGTCAGCTCGATGCTCATAAGGAAATAAGAATGTCATCAGCTACCAGTGCATTATATAAGCAAAGCTCTGCTAGCGGTTGAAACCCGTTGCCCTGACATGGAGAAGCTGGCTTTGGCCCTCATCACGACCTCTCGCAAACTGAGGCCCTACTTTCAAGCACATGCTATAGAGGTACTGACTAACTTTCCATTGAAACAAGTGTTTCATAAGCCTGACGCTTCGGGGAGACTATTGAAATGGGTTGTGGAGCTCAGTG